GCGATGATTGCAGTCTGCACTCGGACAGATTCCAACTCTAACCTCAAGATCAACCAGTTCAAGGAAATTGAGTAACACAGCATCCAGAAGAACCAGCAGTTGTGGATACCGTATATAATTCATAAAACAACTGTAATTACATATGTTTATGTATTTGGAATCTATAAAACACATTCCTGATTCTTTGTCGACAGTGCATATATGGTGTATAACTTTTATTCTTCCTTTTTGTTCACATTTTGTCTGATGCTTCAGCTACTAAAATACGCATTTTGTTGCAGCTGCCATGTGCTGAAGTCCTGCCAGATCTTGATTTTCTGAGCTACCTAGATTGTCCTGGTTGATAGCTGCTTGTACAGTATTTTTCATAGTTACTTTATCCATACCTCACTTACAATTAGGTTCAGTTCTGTATTCTCACTCGTGAGTTCTGAATCATTTCCCAAGATTTCTGTCATTCTAGACTCTAATACTGTTCAAATAATTTTGCAGAACATACCTACTTCTAACAACTTCGATTTCATCAAGCCTTGGCCACTAAGTCAAATGTCCATTCTGCCCATGAACCCTTCTGATTTTGGGCCCTCTCGCAAGGCTTTCCTCTTCATGTTAAATCAGCTCTTCTTGGAGAAAAAGGGTCTTCTTGTAGTCAGGGATCCCATCTTGCATAATACAGTATTTTTTAAATTGCTCCAAGTGCACTGAACAGAAATACACTGTGGCAATGATCCCCTGCACCTTCAATTTCAACATCGGCCTCGTGAACTTATCTTTACCCCTTGCTGATTAAGTATGTGCAATAAAGGTACAAGTGCTTACCAAATGTAAATGTTTAGATCTATTGATACAACTGAAAAACATTCTTCTGCATACGGCATTACATACAAGGTGGCAACATAGTTTAGAGTCAGAGATGTACAGTGTGGAAACAGACCCTTTTGGTCCACCTCGTCCATGCTGACCAGATATCCTATATTAATGTAGTCCCCTTTACCCGCATTTGGCCCATATCCTTTTAAACCCTTCCTATTCACACACCTATCCAGCTGCCTTTTAAATGTTGTAATTGTACCAGCATCCTCCACCACCACCACCATTCCATACACGTGCTGCCATCTGCATGAAAATGTTGCCCCTTCAGTCCCTTTTAAATCTTTTCCCCTCTGACTTAAACCTATGCCCTCTAGTTTTGGACTCCCCTACCCTGGGAAAAAGACCTTGGCTACTCACCCTATCCATACCTGTCATGATTTTATAAACCTCTATGAGGTCACCCCTCTGTTGTACCGGGAAAAATAGTCCCAGTGTATTCAGCATCACCCTGTAGCTCGAACTCTCCAACCCTGGCAACATCCTTGTAAATCTTTTCTGAACCTTTTCAAGTTTTGCAGCATCCTATAACAGGGAGACCAGAACTGAATGCAGTAATCCAGAAGTGGCCTAACCAATGTCGTATACAGCTGCAACATGACCTCCCAACTCCTATACTCAATGCACTAACCAATAAAGGCAAGTGTACCAAATGCCTACTTCACTACACTGTCTACGTGCAACCCCACTTTCAAGGAAATATGAACCTGCACCCCCAAGGTGTCTTTGTTCTTATGAAGTACTGAATTAAAGCATGCCATGTGGATTCTGAAGTGGTGCCATTTAAATCCCTGTATTCTCAAATAAACAGTACGCCAATGAGCTTCTGTGCTACCCTCAGGAGAGATTGCATCAGCACTTCCAAAGGATGTCAAATTGGATTGAGATTGAAGAAGAGTATTCCAACTGATGTTTCTGGAACTAATTCCTCAAACGTACTAGTTCTAAAGTATGGAAATTAGGCAGGAATGATCATGTTTGCCCTATTTTAGAAGTTGGACCATGACGTATTTTTTGTAATGTGAACCACTGACAATAAAATGAATGAAATGCACATTGTAATGCATTGCTCACTCTGACATCTTTGCATCACTTGGTTTTACACTTGCTTTTACCAGAAAGTGATGAGTGTACCAGAGCATATTAAGTTTATGCATGTACGAATTAAGGAGTAAGTCATTCACCCCTGTTGTCTTGTTCCTCCATAAAACAAGTTAGGCAACTCCAACCAGAATGTTATGAATGAATTTGCCCAGATGTCCCACAATACCGAAGCGGTCAATTCACTACGAACATAAGATTGTATCAATGCAAAACTGTCAAAACTTTATTAGGAAACAAGTTACAGTAGCTTTTGCTACAAAAATGTACTATCTCTAATCCTTTTCAGCCCCTTGAGCTTACAGTTCTCCCGAGTCTCATGTAGATTTGCACAGCTGCTCTTTTTCTCTACAAAGCTGTTTTCTTTCTTCCTTCTCACTCCAGACATCAGCGGGTTTCTGCCTTTTCAAAATTTCAAAAATATATTTTATTCATAAAGATATCCTTATACATAGCCACTGAAGCAGTTTGGTTCTCTAAAGTAGCATATGAAGGAACAAACATTGGACTTTGACTCTATCCAACAAACAAACCAAAGGCATTACTTGTGCGGAGATTATATTGACATATATTTGAGGCACTGTGAGCGTCCGATAACTTAACGGACCCTAGTTAACTGTAGCAGAAAAATCTCGGCAGGATTCTGCCTTTTGCCATGTCAGAAGGTCCAAGAGATTGGTCTGCAGGAAAACCCTGTTTTTATACGTTTATGGGAGATTTTCTGGAACTTTCTGTAGTTCTGGCCAATCAGGAATAATTGCTTAATAATTGAAACATTGCCAGTCATTTGGATGGCTTGCTACTGTTTATTTCTTTGTGTAGCAGGACCCATTGCCTTTCTGTCTGAGCTGTCTCTTGTTTGGTGGATAAGTTGTTAGGGATATGTCTGTCCAGGATAACTTTTTTACATTATGGTAATTTCAGTAGCATCTGGCTGCTGTGTTTGCACTGTATCTGGTGTGTGGGGGTTATGACTTCAGAGTTTTACTTGGCCAATGTACCCAGCATCCCTTGCTGTTTGACCAAGTTAGCAAACTAACTGTGTGTTAGCAGCCAGGAGGCTACTACACCTCAAACCTTCTGCACAATTTGATAAGATCATGGCTGATCTGATTGTGGTCTCAACTCCACTTTCCTGTCTACCCCTGCTACCCTTCAACTCCTTTGTGAGTGAAGAATTTGTCTACTTCTGACCTATAAAGTATTCAATGCTTCTGCTGCCTCCTTTCTCCGGGTAAGACAGTTCCACAGACTCAGACACTCGAAAGAAAATCTCATCTCTAAAATGAGAGATCTCTTAATTCTAAAGGATTAGTCCTAATTGTTGAGTATCTAGTTAAGTCCCCTCAGAATCTTGTATGTCTCAATAAGATCACCTTTAATTCTTCTTAAATCCATTGGGTACACACCAAATCTGTTTAGCCTTTCTTCACAAGGTAACCTGTCATCCCAGGAATCGGTTGAATGAACCTTCTCTGTATTGCTTCTAATGTAGTTATGTTCTTTCTTAAATAGGGCAACCAAAACTATTCGCAGTACCAGATCCTTTGTAACATTTTGCTAACCTAAATGATCCATTTATGCTTGTTCTCTTGTTAACTAACTAGTCTTCTGTTTATGCTAACAAGTTATTCTCTTAGACCATGAGTCTTTTTTTTTTGCAATAACCTGGATGTGGCACGTTGGGGTAAATGCAGTTGATCTGCAAGTTTCCCTGTATCCCCATTATAGAATAGAATCTTTTTTTTTATATATAGAATCCCTACAGTGTGGAAACGGGCCCTTCAGCCCAACAAGTCCACACTGACCGTCCAAGCATCCCACCCAGACCCATCCCCCTTTCCCCCACCTAATCTACACATCCCTGAACACTATGGGCAATTTAGCATGGCCAATCCACCTAGCCTGCACATCTTTGGACTGTGGGAGGAAACCGGAGCACCCGGAGGAAACCCACACAGACACGTGGAGACCGTGCAAACTCCACTCGGACAGTCGCCTGAGGGTGGAATTGAACCTGGGTCACTGGCTCTGTGAGGCAGCAATGCTAACCACTGAGCCACGGTGTCTCCCCAATGACTCATTACTATCTCAAAAGAACTCTTAATACGTTTGTCAGGCATGATTTCTCTTTCACAAAAGCACATTGATACTGCTTAACTGCAGTGAGATTTTTTTTTTAATTCCAAGTGCCCTGCTATAACAACAGCTTTCAGCATTTTCTCCATAGCTGACGTTAAGCTAACTGGCCTCTATTTTCCTGCTGTCTGAAACTCTCTTCTTTTGAATAGAGGAGTGATATACTGATAGGGCTTTTCCAGAATCTGGGGAATTTGTTAGTTTTTAGTTCTGCAAATGCAGACCAGTAGTCTGAGCTTTGACTCCCAATCTATACTGATTTGGATTGATGTATCACTAGGATTGCTGCAGTTTACCTCAGCGCTTTTGTGCAACAAAGTGAAGCAATCACCTTGGACTACTTTTTTCATAGTCATTTGTGGAGCAGGCTTGAGAGTCTGACTGGCTACCTTATGCTTGTATTTTGTATGACCATATTAAAGAGCTTTATGTCTGTTTGAAAAGCTAAGGTTCACAATGCAGGACAGCAGCAATATTGAAGTGATTGTTAGACTGCGGATTTCAGCAATGGAAAGTTGTACTCCTGATTGGCAGAAAGGTACAAATAGTAATGTGTTCAGTTTGCACATTGTGAATTCCAATTAGGGTTTACATATCCTTTGTAATTTGTGATCTTCCTGCCATTAGTCTTGATGTGAGGATGCACTGGGCTAGTCATTTTTTTGCAACGTTATAAAGCCAAGCTCCCTTTTGTTTTTTACGAGTACTATACTGTCGATGAATGGGAGGTTTAGGTAAGTGTTCCTGCTCAAAATGCATCCAGCCCCTCTAACCTCCATGGAAGTTGCTCTGCAAGTTAATGTGTTGTAATTTCTCCAATTCTAAGCATACCGTGCATGTTCTGTGTTTGATATGTGCTGTTCTGAATCTATGTCTGTTTTTGTTGCCAGGGTGAGGAGGGGCCACCCAGTTTGGAGTACATTCAGGCTAAGGATTTATTCCCACGGAAAGAGCTGGTGAAAGAAGACGACGACCTGCAGGTAGCAACTCCTGACTGATGATTTCTTTGTCCCCAGCAATGTGCCTTGCTGTATGGTATTGTACAGTCTGTCTAGCTTTTGCTCCCCATTTCCCATTTCACCCAAAGTTAAGTTCCATGTGCTGGTGCTTTCCTTCCTTACTTGATGGTGCCATACTACTTTGGACCTTTTCCCCACAGCATGGCACGACACGCTGCATTGCGCACATTGAATATTCCATTAGTGTTACATGCCATACAAATAATGTTAGTAATCTGCTGGTTTCTTGAATAGATTTCTGCAAACTATAGGAAAATATCCTTGTTCTATTTGCTTGTCTTTTCTGCCTTATTTCTGTGTATCCCAAGTGACAGATTTAGAATTGGAGCACTTAAGTTAGCTGTCTTTCTTTGGTCCTGTTACCGGGTGCTTTGTATAGTTTAAGTACCTATTATAAATGTTAAAACTAGATGCCATATATCTTTGTGAACATGCTGAGCAAAACTGCCTGTAATTCTTAGGAAAGCTTTGTGTGTGTTTGTATGTGTGTGTGCGCACACATGAGCTACAGAATTACCACTACATTTGACTCTTCTGGATAGGTAGGGATTTGTGGTTGTGGTATAATGGATTCTGTTTGTAGTCCTTTTGTTCTGCACTTTGTTGCTGCTCAAAATGAAAGAACCATTCATCATACAACTGCAGCAGACTAACTCCTTTTACAGCTGCCCTACGGCTGATTATGCATGGTCTGCTATTTACATTAATACTTCGTTATTTTCAAATGACAGAATGCATTTTAAATGTTACAGGAGATACAGTTTGAGGGCATGGTTTCTAGTGGATTGCTCCAGTTAAGGAAGCAGCAGATACACAAACAGCTGATTTTTTTTTTAAAGTAGTCATTTGGGGGATGTGGTAAATTCCAACATTTATTGTCCATCCCTTTGTGGTCCCTGAGAAGGTGGTGGTGAGCTGCTTTCATGAACTGCTGCAGTTCGGGTGGTGTAGGCAGAGCCAAAATGCTATTGAGGAGGGAATTCCAGGACCTTGACCCAATAACACCGAAGGAACAGTAATATATTTCCAAATCCGGATAGTGAATAGCTTGGAGAGGAACTTGCAGGTGTTTCCATGTACTAAGTACTGTAGTCCTTGGAGATGGTAGGAAAGGTGCAGTCTGAGGAGCCATAGTGAATTTCTGCAGTGCGACTTAGAGATGGTGCAGAACATTGGTGATTGCGCAATAAGTGTTTCCACTGCTGACCTTATAATGAAGGGAAGGTCATTGAAGCAGTTGTAGATGATTTGGCCTAGGATGTTCCCCTGAAGAATTTCTGTGAAGATGTCCTAGAGTTGAAATGATTGACCTCGGACAGCCTGGTATGATGTCATAAGCCGAGATTGTTCCCTTCATTCCTTATTTATTTCAGTTTCACAAGGGCCCCTTGATGCCACTCTTGGTCACATTTGGCCTTGATGCGTGAAGTCACTCACAACTCCCCAGTGGAATTAAGCTCTCTTGTCCACGCTTGAATCAATACTATAATGAGGTGAGGGACAAAACGGCCCTCGCATAACCTAAACTGAAAATCAGTTTGCAGATTATTGCTATGCAAATATTCCTTGATAACAGTGTTGATGACTGTTCTGTCATATTACTGATATTTGAGAGTGATGGAGTAGTAATTGGTTGGATTGGATTGGATTTGTCCTGCTTTGAATGCAGAGCACTCCTAGGCGACTTTATGCATTTTCAGGTAGATGTCAGTGTTGTAGCTGTGCTGGAACGGTTTGACTACGGGATGGCAAGATTTGGTCCACATATCTTTGGTACCATGTTGGAATGTTGTTAGGACTCAAAGCCTTGGCAGTATCCAGTGTCTTCATTCTTGATTTGGAGGAGGCTGAGATGGATCATGGACTTGGCATTTCTGGCTGAAGATTATTGCAAATGCTTCTGCCCTTTCTTGTACACTGATATGTTTTGGGCTTCTCCGTCATTGAGGATGGTGCTATTTAGGAGCTTCATCTGACAGTCCATCCTCCTCTACTGTGGCAGCATTACAAAGCTGATGCATTGATTCTGGAATTGCTTAACCCTGTTTGTCACTTGCTGCTTAACCCTGTTTGTCACTTG